TCTCTTTTGTTCCAACCAGCGGTTTGGGTAGCTGCTTCTTCTGTCCCTGACTCTATTCCTTAAACTGTGCAGATGAGAATGGGCGAGCGCCCTGCCGGGATGGACGGAACAGTCAGCCATCCCTGGGCGATCGGACGTGAGTCACCCGAGCAGACAGGGCGTCCTGAGGTCAAGTCCTCGGCGGCCTTCCCTCTGCAACCACACGGAGCCCGGAGAAGGGCCTGTGCGTCCCACGTTCCTGCGAGCAGCCGCCGTGGCGGGCGCCCTGACGCACGGGCGTTGCCTCCCTGGGACAGGGACGAGCACTCCCGGAGGGCGTCCTGCTTTCGCTGACTATATCCCCCTCCCCCACCCCTCACACACCCACAGAGCGGAAGAGATGATCTGGAACACAGCCTTTTTCTAATGAAAATGGACCTTTCTGGGTTTACTCCCGGCGTCATACAAAGGTCTGCATGAGACGCGCACGTGGGACCCTATTTCCAGGGAAACGCCAAAGAGATGCAAGACGTTCTGCCCAGAACCCCCCATTGGAGGCTCCGATCGAGGGTGGAAGCTGGGCTGCGTCTCCGCCTCAGCAGCCTGGATGCTCCGGGGGAGGCAGGGCTGTGTCCCTGAGTGGGGGTCTCCCTGGAGAAGGAAACCACCAACTTGCACCTGCAAAGCATTGGATCAAAATGAGTCCCTCAGCCTCTCCCATCAACAAGGGGGACGGGCTCAGTGCAGGCCCCTCCGCCTCCCACACTGGGATTGTTTACGAGGAAGCAGCAGGGAAGAGACACAGCAGAAGGGAGCAGCCCTGTGCACCTCAGAGTCGCATTCAGACCTTGTGATGCAGTCACATTCCCTCAGCCACGGCCACACCCAGCCCTGGGGCTAAACTCACCATCAGGAGATGAAAATAAAGTGACTTCAGAGGCCCCAGGTCACAGGGCGACCCTTCTTGTCTCCAGACCCCAACAGACACATTCCCAGCCTGTCCCCTCTGACCTCAGAGAACACAGATCCCGCAGGAGAGAAGGGAGTCCCCCTGAGAATCCAGACGCGGCTCAGAGGAGGCGCAGGGGGTGACGGGCCTTCTCGGCAGCCCCCTAATCAACCGTCTCTGAGAAACGCAGGGCCTGCCATCGGCCCCTGACAGCACCGCCTGTGGGGACCTGAAGATTGTCTTACTCAGTGATGCACCTGAGACCCGAACGTCACAGGAGCCAGGGCCCATGGCCTGCTTCCTCCCCGTCAGGCCCTCGCTGGGCTCTGCGGCCAATGACGTTAGCGAACGGCCACAGTGACAGTTTAATCACTGCGCACCGTCCTCTCCTCAGTGTCATTTGTTAATTTGTCTTAGTTTTGCAGCTGAACACATTATGATATAAGGATCGAAAGCAGGCGAGTGTCATGAGATGCTGTTCACACCCCCCACCCTCCGCCCCCAGGGGCGGTTCAGCAGGTGACCACACAGAGACACAGCGAGGGGGTCAGGGCTGGGAGTGGTCAGCCCTGCTCCCTCCAACACCAGTGAACTTTAATCCCAACCTTGTTTGCTGATTTCTGCCCAGCAACTGATGAGACACTTCAACACGAGCCAATCAGAACACAGGGACTTGAAAGATGAACTGGACTTGGTTTGGCTTGGTGAGCAAACTTTCTTTTTCCCCAAGCCTTTCCTCCAGCTCAGAGACGCACCCGTGATACAGACCCCGGAGCGCCCGCGCGCTGGGAGTTCCCGCTGGGAGAGCCAAGGGTAACAGGGGGGCTGGGGAAAGCCGGGGCCCGGCCCCTCAGGAGAGGGGCTGAGAAGCTGGGGGACCTGCAGGGCGCCCCTCCCCCTGAGGAGGGGTTGGGGGCCCTGAGCCCGCAGGCGAGGCCCAGGGGGAGCGCGGAGCCAGGGCGGGGAGGGAAGGCTGCCCTGGGCCCCTGTGGGAGGGACACCGGGAACCAGGGAGCCCAATGCCTGCCCGTCCCCGGGAACCTCCTGTGGCCAGAGAGGGGCAAGGCCTCTTCCCGTCTCTCCTGCTCGTCTCTGGGATCGTGTTCTAGGGGATTCTAGAAGAGAGGTGTGTGTCTAAGGATTTATATATTAGGATGTTTGTTACAGGATCATTTGTAATATAGAAAAATCTGCACCAACCGCATACACAACACGTGGACAATGGCTCAACACACCGTCTGACCGAGGAGGAGGTTGCAGTCCCTGTGTCTGTTGGCCATCTGTCCCGCCTCTTTAGAGACCTGCCTACTCAGGCCCTCTGCCCATTTTTCAAAACAGATCGTTTGGTTTTCTTGTGTCTGAGTTCTTCATGAATTTTCAATAGAAACCCCTTATTGGACATGCCATGGCATATACCTTCTCCCATTCTGTAAACTGTCTTTTCATTTTTGTTGATGGTTCCTCTGCTGTGCAAAGCCTTTTGAGTGTAATGTGGTCCCATCTGTTTATTTTTTCATGTGTTGCCCTTGCCTCAGGAGACGTATCCAAGAAGACATCACGAAGAGTGACGTCCGAAGGTCCATTGTCTATGTTTTCTTCCAGGGTTATGGTTTTAGGTTTTATTTTCAGATCCTTAATTTCATTCTGTGTTCAGTGTTGTATGGGGTTTAAGAAAGAGATCCAGTTACACTCTTTTGCATGTACCGGTCCAATTTCTCCAACCCCAATTTGAAGAGACTGACTTTACCCCATTGTTTGTTCTTGCCTCCTGTGTCATGGGTGAATTGACCATATCAGGGAGGGTTCATTTCTGGGATCTTTATTCTGTCCCATTGAACTATGTATCCATTTGTATACCAGTATCATGGTGTTTTTATTAGTTTGGCCTTGTACTGTATAGTTGGGTATCAGGGTGCGATATCTCCAACCATGTTCTGTTTCAAGATTTCTTTGGCTCCTTGAGGTCTTTGGGGTTCCATACAAAGTTTTGTATCAGTAGTTCTATCCCTGAGATGGCAATTGGCATTTGAGTAAGCATGGCCTTGAATCTGTATATTTCTTTAGTCACTAAGGACATTTAACTAATATCAGCCCTTCCAGAGTGAACACGGAAAACTCTCCCATTTATTTGTATCCTCTTCCACTTCTTTCTTCATTGTCTTATACTTGTCAGGGCTCTTTCACCTCTGTGGTTAAATTTATTCCTTGGGATTTTATGCTCTATGATGAACTTACAAGTGGGATTTTTGAAATTTCTCCTTCCAATTACTCATGGTTGCTGTATAGAAACGCAACAGGTTTCTGATTTTGTATCTGCAACGTTAACCAATCCACTGAGTTGTTGCAATAGATTTTTGGCGGAGTGCTCAGCCTTTTCTGCACATGGTACCCTGTCATCTACAAATAGTGAGAGTTTTCCCTTCCCCTTTCTGATTTGTAAGTTTTTTAAAATTTCTTCGTCCTGCCTGGTTGCTGTGGCCAGGACCTCCAATGCTGTATTGGGTGCAGGCGGAGCTGGCGGGCATCTGTTTCTTCTTCCCGATCGGACAGGGGAAGCTTTCAGCTTTTCGCCTCCGAGCAGTATGTTGGCTGTATGTTGAGGAATCAGTTTTTCATAGGGAGTATTCATTTATAAATATAATGAAATTGGATCCAGGTTGAGTATTTAAGGTGTATCTACATCTTTCTATTATAGAGTTCACTGTGATGAACAGCAGTACATATAAACCCTTCTGTCAATGCCTGATTTTTTTTCCTTTAAAAGTACTTCCTGCCTTGGCTGGTGTGTCTCAGTGGATGGAGTGCCGGCCTGGGAACAAAAGGGTCACTGGTTTGATTCCCAGTCAGGGCACAGGCCTGGGTTTGGGCTGGGTCCCCAGTGAGGGGTGTGTGAGAGGCCACCACACATGGATGTTTCTCTCCTTCTCTTTCCCCTTCCCTTCCTCTCCCTCAAAAGATAAGTAAATGAAACACTTTTTAAAAAATGTGATTTCTACAAGTGCAATTTTTGGGACAAAGGAGAAAACATTTTTTATGGTATTGGGTATATATGTGTACCCAAAATAGACCCACAATATTTATATTCGTATGAAAAAGAATATAATTACCATTATAAATTATTAAGTTTTATTTTTTGTTAAAAATTATTTGTAACAGGAATAAAAAACATTAAATATCATTCACAATATGTGGAAATATGTTCCCACTCTGAAAACTTTTAAAATTTACAACATGCAAATAATTTTAAAATTCGAGGATGTAAAGGCCTTTGGCTTCTACTCTGGATGAAACAGGAGCCCCGCCCCCCGCGGAAGCAGCTGAGCAGGAGGGAAGCCAGGGGTCAGGAGGTGCTGGCTGCTCTGCGGGGCACGGCCTGCAGGGGGCAGCAGTGGGATCTGGACAAGGAGCAGAGGGGTTTGCATTGTTCAGAGGGCAAAGCTGGGGGCGCGCCTGGCTATGGCAGGAAAGTGAAGGCTACTGGAGGCTGCTGGGCATGTTCGCACAGGAGGGCCCAGGACCCCCTGAGGGCGAGGGCTGAGGTACGGGCACTGCCGTTCCGTGTTTCATGGGTGATTCCATGGTGGGATCCAAGGGGAAGAGATGCCCCAGCAGACACGTGCAGAGCAGCGATCGCGGTTGCGCCCGGAAGGCCCTGGGGAGGCGGCGTCTCCACGTGGAATTCCCCACCTTCTTCCAGAACTTCATGGCTACACACCTCTGCTGGCATCTCTCTCCACACAGCAGGTGACGATGGCAAGGAGCCCGGTCCTCTCTCTGCGCGCCCTCCGCGTCTGCCTCGCCCTGGGCCAGCTGCTCAGCCCCTGCTCAGCAGGTAGGCCCGGCTCTGCGTTCAGGCGCCTGAAGCGTTTCCCTTTGCGCCCAGGCAGACCCTGGACTCCCCCATCCCTGCGAGGCCCGTCCAGGCGGCCCCTGTGTCAGGACCAGCTTTCTGTCCAGGGGTCCCTCCCCTCGCCCTCCCTGCCTCGGACACACCCCGGCCCTCTGGCCCCAGCTCCCCTGACGGAGCCCCCCCTTCTCACGACCAGCTCAGTTTGCTGTGGTTGGACCCCCTGAGCCCATCCTGGCCATGGTGGGTGAGGACGCCGAGCTGCCCTGTCACCTGTCCCCGAGGATGAGCGCGGAGACCATGGAGCTGATGTGGGTGCGAGCCAGCCCCAGGCAGGTGGTGCTCACGTACGCGCGTGGGCAGGAAGACACGCCGGCCGCAGAGTATCGAGAAAGGATTTCGATGCTGAGAGAGGACATCACAGCGGGGAAGGCTGTTCTGCGGATTCGCAACGTCAGAGCCTCTGACAGCGGAACCTTCCTGTGTTATTTCCAAGACGGAGATTTCTATGAAAATGCCCAGGTGGAGCTGCAGGTGGCAGGTGAGCCTCAGGTTTGCTCTATTCCGTGGGGCGGGGGGAGCAGCTCCAAGCCCACCTGAGAGCAGGTGCACCTTTTCTCCCGCAACTGGCTCCCCACCCACCCCCAACGCTGCTTCTCGGAGGCCCCTGACAGGCCCAGGATGTCCCCCAGGAAGAGCCCCTCCTGCATCCAGTACAGAAGCCCCTCCTGCCGCCCCCCAGGGCTCAGCAGGGAGGTGGGGACGGGAAGGAGGAGAGCACCTCCCCGCAGTGGGGGGCACACGGGTGTGTGGGTTCAGCACATTCCAGACGGTGGCCGTGGGCCCCCAGGTGCCCGCTGCTGTGGGTCCCGGAGGCGGAGCTGCGGGGACGACCCCTGTGGAGCCCTTGTCCCCCAACCACAGGCCCAGGAACACACGTGCAGTTGCACAAGCTGGGCGTGTCCTTGTGGCCGTGAGGGGGATCGCGCATGTGAGGAGAACGTGGGCGTTCCAGTGAGAGGGAGTCAGGGAGGACGTGGTGTGACCTCTGGGCTGTCGGGGACTCGGGGGGACATGGGAGCAGGGCTCTGCACTGGATCGGGTGCTGTCAGGCTGGTGCGGGTGTCGCTGGTCACCCTCAGGCAGGACAGGGAGGGCGGTCCTTGCTGTGTCTGCACACGGTCCGCGTCCCTCTGTGCGCGGACCCGGCTGCTGCGAGGCCCTGGCTTTGTCCTGACCCGTCCCAGCGACAAAGCGCCCGAGTCCGAGGCCGCTGCTCCAGGACGGTGCTCACGGGCAGGGGCCGGAGCTGCACTCACTCCCTCAGGACACAGCCCTACCTGGTTGGTCCCTGGGGAGCCCGGCGGGGGGTGGAAGGTGGGGGTCGTTGCTTGTCCCCACAGGGCCTCCTCAGCCAGACTCTGTCCCTTCCTCGAGACTGGAGCTCCTCCTAACAAAGTCCTCCCTGCAGGCGCCTGTCCTTTCAGGTCCTCAAAAGGCGCCCTCCCGTCTCCCCTTGTGTTTAGGGCTTTAGTGTCAGGTAGTTAAAAGTCCTCTGTCCCTGGCCCTGGGTCAGGTCTCTTCTGCCGGAAAGTTCTCCCCTCTGTGCAACGAGGTGATCGAAACCTCCCATGACTGAGGGACCCCAAAAAGAAGCTGGCAAGTTCAGCATTAATTACATTGAGGATTTGCCCAGGGGGCTTACAGAGAACTCAGAGAGAGGTTAGGGGCAAGACAAGGAGCATATCTTTCCCGAACGCCGCAGGACAAAGGCTTGCACAGGACACGCAGGGCGGACGGGGCTCTGGGGTGAGACTGGGTTCAGATAAGGGGGAACCACCCCCTTGCGAGGCCAGCGTGGGCGAGGGGCAGCTCCAGGAGCCGGCGGGTCTGGGCCGTGGGGGAGGGAGCCCCGTGTCTCAGGGTTTCCGGGAAGCAGGGTCCGCTCTGGCCCATGACCCACCCGGGCCGGGACTCCGGCAGGGGTCACAGGGTGGGTCAGCCCCGCCTGCGCACCGTACTGCCGGCCCCTCCCGTGTGCGCTGCCCCGTCAGTGCCGCGGACCCTCCCGGCACAGGGGCCCCCACGGCTCAGGCTCCCGCTTCCCTCCCAGCGCTGGGCTCCGAGCCCCACGTGGAACTGCGGGGCCTCGAGGCCGGAGGCGTCCGTGTGGGGTGCACGTCTGCCGGCTGGTTCCCGCGGCCCGTCATCGAGTGGAGGGACGCCAGCGGACGGAGCCTGCCCGCGGAGGCGGCGCCTGCGGCCGCGGACCCCCAGGGCCTTTACGCGGCCACAGCGTCTGTGGTCCTGGAAGGCGGCTCTGGGCAGGATGTCTCCTGTGCCATCAGAAACCCGCTGCTGGGCCAGGAAGAGTCAGCCCGGGTCTCCATCGCAGGTGAGCGCCCTGCCCGCGGACATGGGCTCGCAGTGGCCGCTGGGGAGGCGCGGTGTCTTCTGCCAACCTGGGTCCTGCAGAAAAGGAAGGCACAGAGCGGGGACGTGGTGCCCGTCCCCGTAAAGCCGTTACTGTCACAGAAGCCTTCAGAGCGTTTCCTGCTGCCACCGGCGGTGCCAGGCAGTGGGGACTGGGGGACAGGGGTCAAGGTCAGCAAAGACAGGATAAAATAGAAAAAATATGTACAACCCAAATGTTCCAGGGAGGATTAATCTCCTTAAAATATACCACGCCCCAGGGGGAAAAATGAGCAAAGAACAAAGATCATCAGTTCACAGAGAAGGAAGTACCTCGGGAAAGGATGTTCAATATGATCGAGTAGAGAAATGATTTCCACCTGTGAGACTGGAAATCAAATGGAAAATGAGGTGGTGGGTACCATTCTGAGGTGGGGCTGAGGGGAGACAGTCACTGTTAGAAGTCTGTTGCTATTATTTTCTGTGCATTTTGGTGTAAATAGGCACAACTTCCACTGGGGGCACTAGAGCCCCTAATCCCCAGTCCTCATCCACTTACACAAATTCCCACTCCTGGGCGTCTATGTGACAGATCAGCTTGCATTTGTGTGAAAAGACACATGCAAAAGTTTGTTTCTTATGCCATTAAATATCATAACACAGGGTCGGAGGCCGTGCTGGTGCCCCCACGGGAGCGTGTGGGCGGCGGGCGCTGCCCTGTGAGAGGGTCCCAGACCTGCCCCCAGTGCCGACGGCGGAAGGTCCCCAAGACACAGGGCCAGCGGAGAAAACAACAGGCAGACCGGCTTGTATAGAGCGCTGTTTTCTATGTAGACACGATAAAATCAAAATATATTCATGTTTTTAAAATTTAATAAGACTTGCATGGCACTCGCTATGGGTCAGTCACTTCATAAGCATTAATTTACTCCTTTTACCCATCAGGACATCAGGACCAGGTGGCCATTTCATTAGTTGAAGGTCACAGAGCTGGTCAGGCAGAAGACCTGGAACATGGAACCAGGCCTCCAGCCCCCAAGTTCACCTTCTTAATCACCAGATGAGGCTGGATCAGGGGAGGCTAATCAATGGGGGAGAGTGGAGGAGTGGAGAGATTTCGATGACTTTGTATGTTTTCTGAAATTCGAAATATTCCCATGTTAGAAGCAGGTATTTCAAGACAACAGTCTTATGTGACAGTAAAGGTTGAGGGTCTTTGGGAAGAGAACAATCATTTTCCCTCCCGAGACACCCTGTGTCACAGGTCAGAGAGAGGCTGAGGCTCACCCTTCGCAGGTCCCTTCTTCCGGAACTTGCAGCCCTCGGTGGTGGCCCTCGCGGTGACCCTGGTGGCTCTGCTGGGGCTCCTGGTGGGGACAGGGTGGTTCCTGTGGCGACAGCAGAAGAAGATCCAGGCCCTGTCCCAGGAGAAGCAGGGGGAGCAAAGCGCCAAAGGTGAGACCCCGCGGCAGGTGGCCCCCCCGCTCCCGCCCCGGCCACACCCACCACGCGGGTCCTCCGCTCCATCCGCTGACAAGACTTTCCTTTTCTACTTCTTCCCAGAGAAGCTGCAGGATGAACTCAGTAAGTGCAGATGTCCAGCCCATGCGTCCCGGGGTCCCTGGTGACAAGGTCACCGACTTCTGCCGTTGTTCCCTGCAGGGTGGAGGAAGATCCCGTACCTGCCACGTGAGTGCCCCCACCCGCATCCCAGCCCCTCTGCGCGGATTTCCCACCCCCTTCCCCCCGCCCCGGGCGCCAGGGGAAGAAAGGAGGACACTGCTGGGGGACCGGGCCCTGGTCTCTCTCATGGGGAAGGGGCTGCGGCCTCCGTGCACCAGGGGGCGCTCGCGCAGGAGACCCCCATCCGCGGAGGGGGAAGGAGAGGGGTGTGGAGGTGACTGAATCTGTGAGTGCCGCCCTCCCAGGTTGGGTCCTGAAATCTGTAGCCCACTGGGTAGAGAAGCAGGAGAGGGAAAAGCGTCCCCTAAGAGGAGTGGCCAGTGTCACTTGTCACAGATTTATCGTCACTGCTGAAAAAGAAGTGTGTGAACTCTTCCCACTCGGTTGCCCAATTGTTTCCGGAACAGGCAGGAAACAACGCAGGTGGAGGGGGTGGGTTCCCGCTCACAGGCGCCCACAGGTGTGCGCAGGGGAGCCCAGGCCCAGGTACGGCCTGGCCGCGGAGTGAGGTGGTGGCCCCTTATACAGTGGTTGTAGTCCAAGGCCCCAGGGGGTGCCCGACCGCAGATCGTACCAAACCCCAAACTGGGAGTTGTTTTTCTTTTCACGTAAAAAGGGCTTCTCACGGGGACCCCCGCGTTGCAGCGTCACTGGTCTTGCGCGTTGGGGCCGCTGGGATGGGAAACTTGGGCGACGTGACGACCAGCGCTGTGATGCTGCGACGGTGCATCTGTGACAGAGACGCCGCTCCGTGACCAAGGGGGACACGACGCGGGGGAAGAGCTGGACTGAGGGAGGACTCGGGGGGGCCGGGGGGGCAGACGGCACAAGGTTTCGTCACGCTGCTCCCATGCATATGAAATTTAAAACTTATGAATTGTTTATTTCTGCCATTTTGCATTTCCTGCTGTCCAGCCGTGGCTGACGGGAGGTGACTGACACTTGAGAAGCTAAAGCGGGGATGAGGGTGACAGCTGCACAGACAGGGACGGGACGGCTCTGCGGGTGACAGCGGGGACAGCCCATGCAGGGTGCCGGCGGGTCCTGAGCGGCAGCGGATGGAAGGGGGAGGGGAGCCCCCGAGGGAACAGGCTGAGGGAGGCGGTAGGAGAGGTGGGAGGGGTGGGGGGCACTCGGGAAGGTCACATCGTGCAAAGGGGGGACAGAAACCAACTCAGAAGTGACATCCAGGTGACACTCTGTCTCCGTTGCAGGTGAGGAGCAGTCTCAGGCCTACGCAGGTGAGTGAGTCTGACGCTGGACCCCTGGCTCCGGTGTGGGGAGCGTTGACCCCTCTGTTTGCTGGAGGAGGAAGGGTCACCTCCAGCTCAGGGGCTCCTGGTCTGTGACTGAGCCACCCCCGCCTTTCTGGACACTCAGAGGGGACCTTCCAGGTGCAGCGTCCCCTCCCCTGCTGACACCCACGCCCTCCCCCGGGCAAAGCCTGGTCATGTCGCCCGCGGCCCCAGCGTGAAGGGGGGAGACCCACCCCGGGAGAGGTTTCAGCCTGACCAGCAGGGCTGGGACGAGGGACGGGGATGGGGGAGGGGACGGAGGACAGGAGAGGGGAGAGGCTCAGTGAGGATCGGGGGGTCCGAAGTAATGACCTTCCCTTTCCTGTGTCCCCTTCCTTCCAGAGTTGAAGACGGCCCTCTTCCAGCCTGGTGAGTGGGTCCCTCTGTGTCCCCAGGACAGACCCTGAGGGCCCTGCCCCCTCTTTCCTCTCTGACTCTTCACTGGGACAGTTCTGGGGGGAGGTGACCTGAGGTGCTGGTCTCCTGGGGGACTTCTGATGGATGATCCTTCATAATCGATACGATCACCAGTTGGGTGTTGACTCTGCTCTGTCCTTCTCGCTGTCCCTAGCAAACATGCTCAGGGCTGTAGTTAAGGAACAAGATCATCGTCACCTAGAGGGTTTGCCTATTAAGGACAGTGAGGTGGGTCAAAGGTCGCAGCATGACAACGGGAAAGGAATCCGTGACGCCGAGATGGGGCTGGATGTGCTCACAGCCGCAGGTGGGGTGGCACTAAGGGAACCCCAAGGACGACTGGGCCCCGGGCTCACAGCAGGGGCCGCCGTGACCACCCGGGGGCCCAGGGCAGGGGGACGGGGAGGGGCGCCTGGAGCCCGGAGGCCGCTGGGGCTCGGGGAGGGGCTGCTGGGGGGAGGCTGCTGGGCGGGAGCGGCCCCCTGGGGACGTGGGGCCGGCGCTGCGCCCCCTGTCCTTCCTCCTTCCTGTCCACAGCCTATGCCTGCCGGGGCCCCACCCCGCAGTCACCAGGGGCCCGGGGCCCAGGGATGCTGTCCCCGGGGACCGACTCCTGGGGCCGGAGGGCGGGGACAGGTGGGGGGACCCCAGAGCACACGGAGCCCCAGCCCGGCCCCAGCACAGGAGGGACACGGCGTCTGTTATCACAGCAGACACTTCCTCTGAGCCGGGCTTGGGCTAAACTGACCAGCCAGTTGTCTCATTCCACCCTAGAGACGAGGGTCTTACCCCGTCCACAGGTATGAAACTGAGACTCAGCCTGTTCCATAGCTGGTGTCTATGGACAGAGAGGCTATAGGAAAAAAGATGTCATCCAGCTCAGGACATAGAGCGAGGGCTGCCATTTAGCCCTTGGGATTGCAGCATAGCTGGGCAGGGACAGTGTGGAGCAGCGTCAGGGACATGGGCGACCTCAGCCCTCCTCACCCTCCCCTGCCTCAGCAAACTCAGGGCCCCCGCAGTTTCCCTGGGCCTGGCCGAAGGTCCCATCCAGGGCAGGACAGGACCCCAGGCCTTGGAGGGCGCGGCCCAGAGGCCTAGGAACCTCGTCTGACCCCTCCCGACACCCCCTGCAGCGGACGTGCTTCTGGATCCGGACACCGCGCACCCCGCCCTCCGTGTGTCTGAGGACAAGAGGAGCCTGTGGCAAGAAGACTCCTGGGAGGACCTGCCGGACGCCCCCGGGAGGTTTACCGGGAATGAGTGTGTGCTGGGCTGTGCGAGCTTCACGTCGGGGAGACGTTTCTGGGAGGTGGACGTGGGGAAAGAAAAACAGTGGTGTGTTGGGCTGTGCAGGGACAACGTGAGCAGAAAAGTGGGCGTAAAAATGTCCCCCGAGAACGGGTTCTGGACAGTGGGGCTGTCTGACAACAATGAAGTCAGAGCGCTGAGGGCCCCTGAGACTATACCTACCTACGTGCACCCTCCCGAGAGAGTGGGCGTTTTCCTGGACTATGAGGCGGGGGAGGTGTCATTCTACAACGCCCTCGACGGGTCACACATCTTCTCCTTCCCCCACACCCCCTTCTCTGGGCCTCTGAGGCCTGTTTTCAGTACGTTGTCACGTGATCCCACTGCCCTGACCATCTGCCCAGCGCAGGAAGCAGTGGGGACACCCCTCGGGCCTGACCCTTTGGAGGCCCCAGTGGCCCCGGACTCGGCGGACGGGAATGCGGACCCTCAGGCTGAAGGAATCTCTTTGCTTCTCGCTGCCCAGCCTGGCGCGGAGGGCCCGCTGAACAGCAAAACGCCACATGAAGAGAATATTTACTAAAAACACACAGAGTGATGGACTTCACTAACATGCAGTCATTTTCCCTGTGATGGTAGGAGGTGAGGGTGCAGGACGCGACTCAGCCGCCCTCACAGAGCAGCCACCGCCCCCGTGCACTGACCTGTACCGGGGGCCGCGCTGACTGCCCCAGGGGACTGTCACTCACTGTCCCTCACGACGCCCCCGAGAGGCAGCCTCGTTTAGAAAGTGTGGAGACCGAGGCAGGGCCCCGGTCCCTGCCGTCTGCGAGGCCCACGGATTCCGTGCGGCTGGGAGAGGCTCGCCCTCTGCCCCTCCCGCTGCCCCTTGGCAGCCGATTGTTCCTGTCGGGCAGGGTCATGGGCCCCCTGGGTTCCCTTCCCAGGGCTCCAGGGGTGAAGGCCACCGCGGGCGACTGTGAAGGCCTCCCGAAAGCGCATCCTCGGGGTCACCTGTCAGGGCCGTGGTCCCCGCTTCACTGACGGGCTCCGCAGGGCGACGTGGTGCAGAGGGTGAATCACAGCGACCGCGCCTCCCAGGGCCGAGGACGGACCAGCGGCCACTCTCCAAACCAGCTGGGACCTGTGAGCACAGAGCAGCGCCCACCCTCCCACGTCACCCCTGAAGGCCCTCTGGGAGCAGGACTCTGGGAGGGAGGGAGGCAGGGGGACGTCCGGGGAACTTCCTCCCACGGTGGGTTCCGAGTCAGGGAAGGGACACCCACCGCGGAGCACCCATGACGGTTCCTGTTCCCTGTGGGTCCTGGGGACAGGCCGCTGCTCATCGTCGTCGCTGTGACTGTTCACCATGTGTCCCCTCCGCCCGCTTGGGTCATGTCACGGTTGTTAAATAAATTTGTCATTGATCTTCACGCTTCACGCTGCTTATACCTCGTTACGACTTTTCCAATAACCCTGATTGTACTTTCTATTTTTGTTGTAATAAGCATACATTTCCTGACTTACTATAACACAAATCTATTATCTTACATTTCTGTAGGTCAGACTCCAGCATGGCTTTATCCAGGTGATGTACAAGGTGTCTATGCTGGGGTTTCTTTAATTTTTTCTGGAGGATCCAGGTTTGAGTCTGTTGTGTGTTGCGCTAATTCTGATGAGGACTGAGCTGAGCTTCCTGCTGAGACAGCACCCAGGCCGCCCTCCTGCTGCGTCAGGAGAGGCTGAGACACCCCGGGCTGGGACCGGCTGCAGCCGTCCTCGCAGGGACAGAGGTCGGGGGACAAGTCCGGTGGAGGGAGGGACACGGGGACAGAGTCCCAGGCGTGGGATGGTTGCTTTGGGGCCATTGCTCATGAGCTGCTTGCCGTGTGCAACTGAGGCAGCACCGAGGACGGACAACCATTGAGAGTGGAGACAGAGGCAAGGGACACCCAAACAAAAACACGGGGAGGGGCCCTCGCGGGGGGCGGCGGGACGCACACTGAGCTCAGCGGAGCCGTCAGCGGGGGAGAGGGTGTCACCCCCCCGGAGGATGCTCGGGCCCCTCCTCAGAGATCCCTACGGGTCCCCCCCAGTCACGGGCACAGGGAGTAGACATTTTAGACATGTTTGTGTGTCCCCAGGCCTGGGCTCCAAGCCCCACATTGAAATGAAGGGCCGCGAGGACGGGGTGTCCGGCCGGTGTGCACCCCCGGAGGGCGGTGCCCGGGGCCCCGCACAGTTTCGGGGGACCTTGTGGTGAGCTCGGGCCCGCCCTGAGGGGGCTCACACCGCGGACACAGCCATCCTCTCCGGGGTCACCCTGGCCGTGACCATGGACGACAGCTCTGTGAGGGCACGTCCTGTCGGTCAACAACACCCTGCTGGGCCCGGAGAGGGGCTCTGTGACCTTCCTTCCGGGTCAGCGCCCTGCCCCCTGGAGACGCCCAGTCCGAGGAGGCAGGACCCTCAGCAGACAGCGGGGCCCAGTGGGGCAGGGGAGGGGCAGGGTGGGGCTGGAGGGTCCTGAGCCCTGAGGGGCTCAGGCTGCAGCTGAGCTGAGGCCTCGCCCCTGTCACAAGGGGCACCTCACAGAGTCCCTGGTCCCTGGGGGGGAGCCTCTTCTCTGAGGGTAAATGTGATCCCTCTGCCCTGTTGTGGGTCTGAGGCTGCAGCTGCGCTTGTGGATTCACAACAATCACACACCGTGCGAGCGGTGTGGGCAGGGGGCCGTCTGCGCCTGGCGGTTCAGGTGCTGAAGCCTCCCCTCCTGCCGGTGGGGTTTCCAAGGACAGAGCTGGGACAGCCTTCATCACAGACGCTCATAAACTCACTCAACAAACACTCAGCAATGATCTCATATGTTTCTTGTAGGCTGGTCAGTCCTCACGGGTCTGAGGTAGAGGACACGTCCGGCCTCTCCAATAGCAGTTACCCAGGGTGTCCGTGGACAGCGGGCAGGGTTTGCTGAAGGTAGAAAAACCTTTTATTGAGGAAGAATCGGCCTGGGTGTGACTCCCACCCTGACCTGCCCAGTTAGGGGATTGTGGTCACATCACCCCCTGAGGTCACTGTGGGTCACTGATTTGTTCCAGAGCCTTTTGCACTTGCAACATTGGAGTCTCGAGAATGAATGAGCGACAGGCATCTTACTGGGTTGGCCAAAAAGTTTGTATGTCGTTTTCTGTAAAATAAAGGAAATGTTTTTCATTTTCACCAATAAGTTTATTGATGTGGATATTTTGAGTCTGTCGGCTGCCTCCCATGTGATATAATGTTGCTTGTTCTCAGTTGTCTCGAGTGGACTGGTGTCACCTTCAACTGGTCCACCCGCCGTGGAGCATCGTCCCGTGAGAAATCTGCCGCCGAAAGTTCACAAAGCAGTTCTGACACATCCGAGCAGTCACAGCACCTTCTCCATACACTGCACAGATCTGTTTATCACGTTTCAATTGTGTTTTTACCTTTCTTGAAACAATAAAACAAATATGCTGGAAATGTCACATATTTTCTTCCATCTTCAATGTGAAAATGGCTACACAAAAAGTCATCAACTTTGATAAGCTTTGTGCAGGCGCGCTGATATGACATCTGCCACAGGACAGTCTAACAGAAATTGTTTGGAATGCTTTTAAAGACAAGTAAGTGCTATGAGAACAATCTTACAGAAAAAAACCAACCTAACTTTGGGGGTAACGCAGGAAATACCAAAGTCCAGAGAAATAGATAATGTCTGCTTTCATTTCCTGGTTGGGCAATGTGCTCTGTGAGAATTTCCTTCTTCCTTGTTCTGGCATTGTCTGTCCCTTCTTTATAAAACCCACATCCAGGGAATTGTCACTGTTCGTCTTGTCTGTTGCTCTCCTGGAAGTGTCACTTCCGACACGGGTCTCGATTTGATGCAGTTAGAGCTCACCCAGCGAGACCAGCCTTTTCCATAGGAGCATTTTGTGATATCAATTAACTTCAATTACTTAACGTGTTGCTCAGAAGTTGGACGGACAGAGAGGCCACCCCTGCCGCCCATGGAGGGGCGTCTGCCTGCAGGGCACAGACAAGCCCCTTTCTTCACCAGTGACAGCGCAGCTCAGCCAGCGGCAACCCTGTGCAGCCCCCCAGGGCCAACCCAGCCATGTCCCCCACGACTCTCTGCCCCACCCACACCCCCTGCTGGGGCCGTCCCTGCCCCTGTCCCTCTGCGGTCCCAGCGGGGACTTTGTCTGGAGGGCGTCTGGCCTGGAAAACCGTTTAGGCCAATAACACAATGTGACTCCCTGGCGCGGCGGCTGGAGAACTTAGACCTTGTGAACGTCACACCTGTTCTCCCGCACCTGCCACCCTCAGTCACGTCGGTCCTTTCTCTCCCCCTGACTCCTGTGCATTTAAAATTTGAAACAGAAGAGCCCAGACGTGAGGCCCTCAGAGCAGACGGTGCCCAGGCGAGGTCAAGCGGCCGAGGGCCTTCCCACCGACACCGAAGGGCAGTTGCTGTCGTCTGAGCATTTGGCAAGAACACGGGCCTGACCCAGCGTCTTCCTTCCTGGGAAACGGGAGAAAGTCGTTTCTCAGGGAAAAGCCCTGAGAGAAGGACGGCGGAGGCAGGGCGGGGCGTCCACCAGCCGGGAAAGGCCCGAGGCTGCCAGCAGCCCCCACCCCCCAACCTGCACCTCCCCCTCCACCGGGGCGGGGCGGAGCCGCCCCTCGGACCCGAGCTCAGTCTTCCATTTGCGGGGACGGAGGCGAAGATGCTGTGTTGTTTCATCCTCCCCATTTGTGGCACCTGGTGCAGCCCGGTCGGGGGACTGAGGTGCCGCTGTCCGGTGGTCCCCAAGCACGTGTGCTTTGCAGGGAGATCCACTCACAGACGGGGGAGGGGCGGGCGGGAAGGGTTAACTCGTATTTCTCCTTGTGCATCAGAAAACTCTGTGCTCGGCCTCTGCCCAGGGAAGGGCTCTTACAGCATTAATATGAAGAGGAATAAGTGCATTATAGCTTTCAGAATTATTTTTAAAGATCCATATCAAACACTGTCATTTGAAGGTAAATTTCTGAGTGTCCACGTCCTGTCCTTTGGACAAGAGCGGAGCCCGCAGGCGGGGGCGCGGCGTTCACGTTGCCCGACGCCCGCCCTGGAGCAGCGCCTCCCGCAGGGCCCGGGCCGCCGGTGGGTGGGAGCGAAGTCCTCACGGAGCGACCCACGTTTTTTAAAGTGTCAAATGGAATAATAAGCCCATACAGTATATATAAATTTGAGTGTGGCCTCAGTTACCATATATGATGTATTCCTTACTGTGGATCACAGCAGAAAGAAAAAGAGAAAAGAAAACACTTGAGGTTTTATTAAGCAAAGATGTGAGAACCTGGCGGGACCTCGCGGTGGAGGGAGGGGCGGACGCAGTTCCCGGGCGCACGGTCTGCAGTGAAGCGCGGCGACCACTAGGGGGCGGCGGAGTCTCAAGATCGTAGTCATAGAAGTTAGAAGAAGGCGGGGGTGGGGGTGAAGGGGGGGACAATGCTCGCCCGAAGAGGGGAGAGAACAGGGGAGGGAGGTGGAGTCCGACTCCTGTAGCTTCGGCCCCTGGATGGAGAGACCCGTGGCGCAGATGGGACCCCGACCTGCATCCTGGGGTCCAACCACATCAGCCAGGCCCGGGCGGGCCCGCCGGACCAGCGGCGCCCTGTGTGCTGTGGACCCATGACGGAGAAAAGGAATGTCCATAGACTCCCTAGTTGGGTGTTCGCTCTGAGGCGCGATTGCATCAGAAACGTGTCTAATAAGCATGCACCCCGTACAGAGTACAGGTTAGTGCTTAATTTTTTTTTTTTTAGTAATAACTGTATCTCCTTCCATGATTAGTTGGG